TTTATTTACAAGACTACCAACAAAAAAAAGTTAAAATCATAGAAAAAATATTTAGTTTGTGAAATATTGCTTTTGTCGTATATCAAATTAAAGCTGAAACCACGAGGATTAAGAATTTTCATACAAAACGAAAATAAGTTTAGTAGTTTTCAAGATAAGTATTCTGTAAGTATCAATATTTTCCATAAAAATGACCGCCATTACTGTTTCCACAAAATTTTTCGTCTAGTCTAGAGCTTTAAAATGATGCATAACATGGCATAGGCCATGTTTAAATTTGGAAACTCTGAGATTCGAACCCATGATTCCCAGTTTGTTGAACACCCTGTATTTTCAAAATGGTAATACTATGTTTACGTTGTTCCTTAAGTATGAATTAGTAGGGGAAAGTTTTGTTTCATCTCTGTATATCAAGCCGTTTGTCTGTAATCTGTTTAGGACAGCTTAGAAGACTCACCCTGTATATCGGTTACATGTATTTGTAAACAGTAAAAGAAATCAGAAGTAAACAAGTGTCATTTAAACGTTAAGAAAATATTTTATTTTGAAACATATTATTGTTTACAAAGGGTTCTGGTTTAAAAAAATTTGATACTATATTTTAGTTGACCTTAAAGGCAGCACTCCACGCAAAACGACTTTCATTTAAAAAAGGAAAATTGAAAAATTATGTCAAACTAGAAACTTATAATGACTGTTTACACAACGGGCCACAAACAAAAACATTTCACAGTTAATTAAGAAGTCAATTAACATTTAATTAAAAGTTTTTTCTTTGACCCCTTTTTGGAAATCAGAGTCGATTATTAGGTGTTTTTTCACACTTATAAATTGTGAAATTAAATACATGTATGAAATTGAATGTATCGTAGTGATTTTAAACTTAAAGAGCAAAATAAAGTAGATAAATCGGTCTGTTTTTTAAGCAAGTAATTCATTAATATAAGCAAATGTAAATTGCATTACAGAACAATGATACTAAATATTTAATATTGTGTCGGTTGTTTTGTCTTTCTATCACTTTGTTTTGGTTGTTTTTTTTTTTTCACAGTGATTGGTGTTTTTTAAGGTTAAAAATATCATCTGGTAATAATGGTTAAATTAGTGGTTGCTTGAGTGACATAAAGTATTGTGCTCAGAAATAGTTCAGGTAAGTCTTTCATTCTGCTCATAGATTCAAGTAGTTTTTTGTGTCGTAAAACCCCAGTCATACCTGACCATACGGTATCCAATAAATGTTTCTAACAACAAACTAGCTGTCAGTAAGTAACATAAAGTTTCACAGATATTGCCATTGTAATCTACACGCACCTCATATCATAGTCATATTTAGTTTAACGCATGCAACTATATGTTCTTCCTTGGATTTTAAGTAGGCCTAACAAATAGAAATAAGTATGACACATACGAGTTTATCAGTTAGCAAAAAGCAGTGACTAAAATACGCTAGGCATGAATGCATATACTATGAATCGATCCATTCAAGTTGTTCTACTTTTCGTCATTACTGTTCAAGAGATAATGAGCATTGACAAATATTCTTATCGTCGAGTTTTGTTATTAGCGAATTTCCCTATAGGGAAGTAGCTATTACCGTAGGTCTCATGGTAAGACTTAAGGCCGGGACCGATTTACTTTTTCATTTTGATGTCCCCAGAGGCCAAAAACACCATTCGTTTAAATTTTTATATATCTATATATAGATATATATATATATATGTGTGTCCATCCGCACGATAACTTGAGTAATTTTTGTCCGATTTTGATAAAATTTGGTTTGAAGGTGTAAGGCGGGATAAACTTGAATGAGTTCGCGAACCAGCATGATCGGACTATGGGAATGGGGGTTTATGGGGGGTTTTATGGGGTAAAAATAGGTTTTTCCCATTTTTGACCCTAAAAACACAAAATTTCACAATTTCTTTTTAAACCATTTTGTAGAGCTTAAAAAAACAAATAATTTAGTATATTGAAGTGTTATTATGCGCCTAATTGTTACGGAGAAAATTCAAAAAAATTGCAATTTTAAAATTCCCATGTTATTCTTATGGAGAATAAGTCAACTGTTGTAGTTTGCTTGTTTATGAACATATCTTGATCAAATTTTGAAAATACATTAATTTCTTACTAAACCACAGTACCTTTTAACATTTTACATAAAAAAAACTTTTTACCCTCCCTGTTGCAGCAAACCTAAGTACTCATTAAACTAATTCTGTTTAAATAGTCAATAAATGTGATATTTTTAAGGAGACATTTTAGTTTAAATCCAATCAGGCAAATGGAAATTCGCTAAGTCTGCAGGTTTGCTGCGGCGGGGGTATTTTATTCATTAACTTAATATTATTATTTATCGTACTTGTTCTAACGTATAGTCACAAAATATGATTAATGTGGAGGTCTCGAGGTGAGTGTGAACTGTCTGTGAGGATGATGTATTTTGATAGATGACAACAAAAGAAGAAGTATTAAACATTACATCATCCATCTCACACAATGCTAACCCAACCCCAGAAAAACACGAGTTAATAAAACCATGGGTAAGTAATAACATGGGTAAGTAAAAACAATTCAGGGTAAGTAAAAACATGGGTAAGTCAAAGAGCTGCAAAAATAATCTTTAAGAGCGTTTTTACATGTTTAACTAATCTAGAACTTTATATTCTATCAAATTTAATAATATCACCTGTTTACATGATGCATGATGACAAGTACAAAAAAAATATTACAATACACTTTTGGAAACCCATTAACTACAGTAGTTCCATATAATTTCCTTGCTATTTATTTCCCTTTTTTTATTAATAGTGTTCAAGGTTCAAGGTGTAGATTTATACAAAAGTAAAATTCTGTTTTATAAATGGTCCTTCAATATTTTTACCAATCGTACCAATGTGGGAATTTATGTTTTGAATACGGTTGCATGAAATAACATTTGAAAAGCGTAACGCTTCACTTGGCTTAGATACACGTTTAAATATACCTTGATACCTTGATACCTTGAAGAAAGCAGCCGTTGACCAGTAGACTGGAATGGGCCTTGTCGTTAAAAAAACTCAAAAACGCACTCACATGCAAAAAAAATAAAAACTTTTACTTGGCTTGGCGAAGTGGCTGGTTTTGTTTCTTACTTTCCATGAATTCGAAAAATTCCTCCACAGAGTAAAATGCCTGTTCTATAAAAAGTTTCTTAATCCTGTTTTTGAAGATTGAGAGACTGCAGTTCTTGAGGTCTTCTGGCAGACTATTGAACATCTTAAAGGAGCTGTACCTGAAGGACTTAACATTCTTTGCCAGCCTGAATCTAGGGAGGTTTAGGCAGTCTTTTATCCTTGTGTTGTGCTCATGTACATCACTCCTTACCTCAAGCTCATGTTCACTCTCTTTGCACCACAACAGGCAAGCTGACATATAAAGACAGGGGACAGTCATCACTCCTAACCGTATAAACAGTGGCCTACAGTGTTCCTGCTGACTCCACACTCCTGAGATTGTTCTTATAGCCTCTTTTTGCCTAGCGAAAACTTCATCCCTTCTGGCTGCATGTCCCCATAGGAGGATCCCATAAGCAATTATGCTGTGGAAAAAAGCAAAATATGCATACATCACACAGTCAGGAGTTACGCTGTCTTGCAGTCGCCTTAACAAAAAAATTACTCTGTTGAGTCTCTTCAAAATTACTTCAACATGGTCCTTCCAATCTAACTTAGGGCCCAAGTGGAAACCCAATAATTTGGCCACATCTTGGTCTTCATTTTTCTTTAAAGAGAAAAACACACGTTGAGTCTTCGCCTCGTTAAGAGCTAACCCGTTGGCCTGAAACCAGATCTTGGCTTCATTGTATGACAGCTCAGTCTGTTCCCTCGCAGAGCCAAAATCCGCTCCCTTGGACATGATGGTCGTGTCATCAGCATAGATAATGGTTCTGCCCGGGATGCAGCAATCAAGGTCATTTATCATGACCAAAAACAGCAACGGTCCCAGCATAGACCCCTGGGGGACGCCTATATTTACCCTCTCTAAACCAGACTCTCTGCCATCCGCCACTACCAGTTGCCTTCTATTCTTAAGGAAACTTTCCACCAACCTATTAGCCTGATGAGAAACCCCCAGACTTTCCATCTTCCTCAACACAAGTTGATGGCTGACACAGTCATATGCTTTCGACAGGTCACAAAAAACCGCTTCTACAACCTCATTATTGTCCATTGCGTCCATTACAAAGGTACAGAACTGGCATACTGCATCCACGGTTGATCTTCCACTTCTGTAAGCAAACTGTTGGCTACTTAGTAACCCCCCTGATTCAAGAAAACCAGTCAGCTGATGTACCATCACTGCCTCGAGTACCTTGGAAAGTATAGGCACCAGAGATATTGGCCTATAACTGGAGGGGGAATCTCGGGGACCCTTCTTGTACACAGGGACCACCCTGGCAAACTTCAAGACATCAGGAAAAAATCCCCTCTGCCAGACATCTGTTGATAAGGCGAGTTAGCGGTGAGATTATATCGGGAAGTATTTCACGAATCAATCTATTTGAGAAACCGTAAAAATCTTTGCTAGGTGAGGCCTTAAAATTCATCACTAATTTTTCAACTAACTCATTACTGACCATGCTCCACTCGAAAAAAACCATTCCCCTGTTACTTTTATTGGCTGCTAAGATCATGGCCTGCTCCATAGATGCCGAGCAGTGCTCGCTAATCTCCTTCACTGAGTCTATAAAATAACTATTTAAGATGTCAGGATCAATTTTACAAGCCAGGTTGGTTCCCTCTTTGCCACTCTCAATCCGAATGATTTCCCACGCTGCCTTGATCTGATTTGGGGCCTCCAGGATCCTTGAGGCACAAATTGCCTTCTTAGTTGCCGAGCATTCCAGTCGGTACCTCCTCTTCTCCTCCACATAGCGTGCCTTGTCAGCATCCCTATTTGTCGTTTTGTAAATACCATTTAACATTACCACACGCTCCCTCACCTGAGCCAAAGCTGGGGTAAACCATGGAATCCTCTTCATCGGTTTGGGCCTGAAAACTCTAGTAGGAAAACAGCACTCAAAGGTACACACCAGAAAGTTCAGAAAATTGGCAAAAACAACGTCTATATTACCTGAAACGTTGACTACGGCGTCCCACGATGTTTCACGGAGCCGAGCCCTAAAGTCCTCCATTCCTTTTCTAGAAATTGGTCTGCATACCTTGTTTGTGGCAGGTGGGGGGGCTGTAAAGTCAGAGCTCATATTTTTAATTTCTACCAATATACCACTGTGGTCGGATAAATGTGTTTCAAAAACATTCAGTTCTAGTTGATCTGGGAAAAAATTTGTAATAATATTATCTATACAGTTCTCACCTCTAGTGGGTTCGGAATTCATACAAAAGACGTTGTGTGACCTTAGCAAATCAATAAAATCTCGCACATTATTAGAAGGTACTCTAATGTCTAGGTTCAGATCTGAGGCTATAACTATCCTTAACTTGTAGGTAGAAAGCATGTTTAAAATCTCACTCATATTAGCAGAGAATAATTCTAGGTTACCACTAGGTGTTCTGTAAGCTGATACTAAGATGATACCTTCATTTATCAACCTGACAGCAGCAACTTCACAGTGCTGTTCTATGCAAAACTTCTTTAAATCAATTTCAACAAAAATTATGTCCTTCTGTAAAAAAATACAAACACCTCCATAAGCCCTATCCCTACAGAAAGTAGCAGCAAGCGTAAAGTTAGGGATATAAAGTACTTCAGCCTCAGCATGAGTCAACCAATGTTCATTAACACACAATGCTTTGGCACTTTTTTGGGTTAAGATAACCTCCAGCATACTAACCTTATTACGGATGCTTTGTATATTCAGGTGTATGAAATTAAAAGTCTGCTTCCTCTCCACTAACCTCTTCCTCGTCTCTGGATTCCTGGATGTTATCCCAGTGGCTTTTTTCCCCGTGAAAAGAAAAAACGCCTCACAATCACATCCCTAGGCCAACACTCACTGTCCATCAACTTGTCGAGATTTTCAAAGTCGGTCCCAAGCTTGAAACTTTCACAATGTCCCTTTGAGTTGAGATTTTCCACTTCAAAATCAATGTCAGGAAAACTGGTAGACAGAAACTCTTTGGTTTTATCCACTGAGGTATGTTTACGAATACGACCTAAGAAAAGCCAAGCACGCCTTTTGCCAACAAGTTCGTTGTTTTCATTCATGTCCTTGGAGCCAATCACAAAATTCCTCCGCGTTTGCTTTCCAGCCATGCTGCTTCTTGAGGAACGTCTACTTTTCCTTTCCACCATGGTAAATGTGGAATCATCGTCATTAAAACTGTCATTCAGTTTCTCATCAGCATTTTTTATTCTACCATCACTGGTTTCGTCATTTTCTAGTAGGTTTCCAACGGAACTACTTTCTGTTTCTACACTTTTCGTAGCAACAGCAAGTGACGTCACAGAATTCTCCACGGCCTTCTTGTTCGTTTCTTGCTTTCTTGATCCCCATGCAGGTAAAGGGAAATCCCTGTCTTTCCCCGACTTTAACCTCTTTTCAGGCTTACTATTACCAGCCACCGGTGCATGTTTCCCCGTATTTTTCTCAACTTCAGCAACTCTACAATCTAGCTTCACTATTTTTTCACTAAATCTATCCTGATTTTCACTCAGTATCTTCACACAGTGAGACATATCTAGACTCGCTTTACTGATATTTTCAATTTCAGCCAGGATAACTTGCAGCATACTACCAGTATCCATGCCGGAGAGATCACTCTGACTTTTTGTCACTGCATCAAAACGTTTTACACAAGCCTCACACAGCCACTTGATTTTGTTGCCCAGTGAGTTTATAGAGACGAAATCTGATTCCTCAATATTTACACATTCTATGTGATACCACAGTTTACAGTATCCATCACACCAAATAGCTCGATCATTTTCTCTCTCGCATGACTCATCACAAACTCCACACCTCTCATTACTTTCGTCTTTCTTCTTGCCCTTTTGTCTACCCATTTTTTATGCGAAAGTTAAAAACGTTTTGAGTTTAAAATATGACTCCTAAATAATCACAAAAAAGAAAATCCCTGTGTAGGGACAGTCAAACAGAAAAATCCCGGTAGGGGTTGTCAAAAACGGGAAAAAATCCCACAGGCTCGAGATGCCTGAGTCAGCCTCTTGAAAATACTTTTGTTACGACAGAAAAAACGAAAACAAATACTATGTTACATAAACAGAAAGTTCACACCCTGGTTTGATGGCACCTCAGAATAAAAACTCATTTAGAAACCTTAAAAAGCACTTTTTGCACGGAGCCAGTTCACTGTTCAAACAAACCATCCGCCATTGCCGATATTAGTTTCAATCGATATTAGCGAAGCCCAGGAAACTGTACCCCCAATTTATTTTATAGGCTACCAGAAACTAATTTGAATTTGCTTGAAACGTTAATATTCTAATGACCATGTCCATGTCCATTATTTAAGTCATTTGAAATCTAGCTGTCTTAATTGTTATTGTTAATCAACATTGTAAAAATGGTAGAACCGTTGATAATAAATAAATAAATAAATGTCAATAAGTTGCACCTTTCAATTTTGTGATGACAAAAATGGTTCTTTAAACTGTAGTAGTTGTAACTTGAGGCCTAAATTGAAAATACACACCTAAAATACAAATTTGTATGACAATTGAAAATTGACAAACAATAAATTCTCCAAAATCTAACCTCAAACCAAACGATTTTTACGATTTTTATACAATAACAAATAGAATGTTTTTAAAGAATCACTTTATTAATTGCATGGCTTGTTCAATCTTGATCTGATAAATATTGTCTAAGTATTAGCAAACGTCGCAATCTTGTTGACTTAATTGAATGTAAGTTATTAAATCGTATGTAAGTTACTACTTAATTACTAAATTAATACTAAATCGAGAGCTCTTCAATGTTGTCGTTAGATTGAGGGTGATTCTGAAGTATTGTTACACTTTTGAACCTCTACAAATAAAAACCCATACGACATATCATCACTGGTTGAGAATCAATTGACAGAGGAGATTCTAAAGTTTTGTATGACACCACTTTGGTAAACATAGTTAAAAAATTAGCCTCTACAGACATTTTAGATTTTTACTACGATTTTAAATTAATTGCACACTTTTAACTATTTAAATCTCAACACTTCATACTCTACGTTGAATTGTCAAATGTTTTAAGTAATAGGTACTGCTAGGGGTCTCTCAGTCATTGTTGACCGCCATTATAGAGGGGAGGCTAACGTTTACCCGGGTTGTCCCCCTTCCCCCCCCCTCGGTGGGAATTTTCGACATATACATTTTTTGGTTTGTATTGACATGTACTTTAAGGTTTTAGGTGTTTGCCACTTGTGAATTACAGCATGTTCTGGAAAACACGAAAATATAATGAATATATATATTAAAAAAAAATGGTTTTTCTTTAGCGAGTTCGTTTGGCTCTACAACCCGACCGATTTTCATGATTGAGGTCTCAAATTGAAGGTATTTACGCACAGATTTCACATCAAGCATCGGCATATAGTTGCCTACAGTCCCACTCGGCTTATACGTAAACAACATTTTTCCCATGCATTTCTTATGGGAGTTAAATTTGGTTTTTCTTTTCCGAGTTCGTTTGGCGCTTCTACCCACCCGATTTTCATTATTGAGGTCTCAAATTGAAGGTATGCACGCACAGATTTCCCATCAAACATCAGTATATATTTATCGACAGTCCCACTCGGCTTATACGTCAATTAAATTTACCCCCCATGTATTTCTAAAGGGAGTTAATTTTTTTTTCTTTTCCGAGTTTCTTTGGCTCTTCTACACGTCCGATCTTCATGATTGAGGTCTTAAATTGGTAGTATGCACACATATATTTCACATCAAGCATCATCGTATATTTATGTACTTTATTACTCGACCAAAAAACATAGGTTTGATATATTTTTTAATTCGTATTTCAATTTAAATTGTACAGTATTTTACCATTTGTAATGATATAACCCTATATATTTTGGTCTAAGAACCTTCAGTGAAATACCGGCTTGCATTTAAGATATTAGTTATTCAAATCGGACGGTTTTCAAGCAAACGCAAGGTGAACATCCAACATAAAAAAAAAAAAATTATAAGGTTTTTCTATGATTGAATATCAATAGCTCCAGTATTGTTTACGTATTTTTATATGTTTTAGACTCAAAATAATCAGTCAATTATAGGCTTTAATTTGAGCTATTAATCGTACTGTATTACACAATCAAAAATAATAAATTTGATTATTTCTCGGATATGATATTTATTTTAACGCCGCAGTGCAGCATGGGTCCTTCAGTATAGATTTTTTAGTTTGATATGATTTGATTAGTTGATTCATGTGCGTAGGACGGGCCCACAGCAAGTTAGAATTTTAAAATGCAAGTATGGTGAAGTCATCAGATTGTTCTCAGTGACATGCAAGCAAATTAAATGAAACGAAGTGAGCAAAGTATTTTGCAAGTACTGTACTTGATGCTTTTGAACAATGCATTATTCTGCTTGAAGTTGAAAACCGTGATCAGAATTCCTAGATGGTCTGTTTATCAGCTGGAAGACCTGTACCCGAATCGGTGGAAGACAATTTACTCAATGTAGATAATCTAGGGAAAGCTGCATGCAAACAGATTAGTTGAGATAAGAGCAATAAGAAATATTTTTCTGGAGTTTTACTGCTGTCCCAGGAACGTAATATTAACCTTGAGAAGCTGATGACATACCCATTAGATCCAGTACCATGGGCATCAGCCACTGTCGATGGATGCCCAACCATAACAGAAAAGGCCAAACTGCTCCATGCTTTGGAGAACAAGGGTATAGACGAACCTCTCAAGATTGAAGAATGTATGTATGTAATTGACGGTATGGCTTACTTTTAGGTTCTTACTAATATTCCAGAAACCTCTGGTGAACTAGCACAGATTGCCCTCAGCCGTTTTCCGAAATTCCGGATATACTTAATTGCGGATACCTATTTAGATGTAACTATTAAAAACATTGAAAGAGAGAAGAGGATTTGGAGAAACGTTCTTAATGAGATGTCCAAAATCAAGATCCCACGGGATTGGAAAAAAATCCTAGCTAATGGTAAAAATAAGGAACAACGGGTTAACATGCTAAATAATGAATGGTCTCAGCACAAATATTCATAAATTCAAACAAGCTTCAATACACGTTTCTAGGGTAATGTAAGGTTGTTTTTGGTGATATTTTGAAATTTACCCCCCACCCACAAACAGGGTTGATTAAAAAAAAATGGAAACCCATATCAATCGGCAAATTATTTTAAAGAGATTTAAAAAAATAAAATTATTGCCGCAAATCCGATTTTGATACGACGAAAACGAAGTTTTAGACGTTAATTTTACTGGAACCTTACATTCCAGTAAAATTTTCGTCTAAAATGTCTCAATAAAATTTATTTAATTTAATTAGAATCTCTTAAAATCGCTTTCCTAGAGGTACTCTTTAAATCTAATGTTATTTAAATAGATTTAATTGAAAATCAATTCAGGCCAATTTGAAATCCGCATTGCTTGCAGGTTTGCTGCAGCGGGGGTATTTTTTAACTTTTTTATTTTCATTTGAAGTCTTTGAATACATACTGAAGAAGTCCATAAAGAATATTGCACCAGTAATTAACGCAGGCTACCCTTTTGTAATTTAAATAAAACAGTTTTTTTTATTTAATAGTTTTTCTAAATTTTTTGGAATACGCTGTAATTTAAAAGAAGCAAACAACTGAATTCTTAATCTGGTGGGTAATACCAACAAAAAAAGTATAAGTCATAAATTCCCACGGGGGGGGGGGAGGGTTTCATATTGGTGGCTCATGGTCTATTATTGTAAGCTGCGAGGGACCTTCAAAAACCAAAAAGTGTTCTAAGTTTTAGAGTTTGGGACGTCTTCAAATATTGATTGGATGTTGTGCAGCCAGAGGGGGCGCACAGAACATTAATAGTTTTTTGCCATAACCTTGTTCAATTTTTTATTATTAAATCACCTGCTATTGTGTACATTTTACGCTGCGAGTTCCATTTATTATAAATTATCTATCTATATGTTAATAGGCAAGCATGTTTCTTTGAAACCTTTTTTCTCAGCTCGTGTGCATCGCAGGGAAAATCTACGCATACTGTTGGAAAGATATTTAGCTGGAGATGTGCAGAATCCCTTTATAAATTAAAATAGGCTAAAAAATAAGCACAACAAATGAATTTGAAAACTTGAAAAAATAACATGGGATTTATGGGTTGACATGATGGTGACGAAATAACAACTAAATATAAACAGAAAATCAAAACAAATTCCTATCACATGTTTTATTTACAGTGTGGGGTTAACAAGGTACATTACATAGTGTAAGAAACGGCCATGTGGACCTAACTTTGCCTGAATAAATAAAGAATCTTTCTTATCATTTATTATTTTTTCATTTAATTTAATTTAGACTACATATTTTTTGTAGAGTTTTCAACCACTGGACGTCCTCTAGTATAATTAATTTAAAACCTTAATTAAAATTTAAAAATGTCTGTAGAGGCTAATTTATTAACTATGTTTACCAAAAAAGGGTAAAACTAAACTTAAGAACTTCTCTTTCAATTGATTCTCAACTCGTTAGGATAGGTTGTATAGTTGTTCATTTATAGAGTCTTAAAATTGTAAACATTATTTAGAATCACCCTGTATTTTATTTATTCACCACACAATTCAAGGGTAAAGAATGTAATAAAACTCGGAATAGAGACTTAAGTACAAAAGCGTTATTTAAGAATAGTGTAGAAATTCCAGGAACTAATTTAGGGCATTTCATTGTTAACCTCCGACGCAAAAACACATCGATATTCCTTGGTCCATACTACGTGCAAAAGTCTTATCTCCCAGCTTTGAAATCAAATAAAACGTACTGTCAGAACCTCTTACTGATTTATTCGATACTACTTTTATATGTGATAAATAAATAAAACAGCTATCTTTTATGCATAAAAATTTGTCTTTATTCGTTAAAAAGTTCAATAATAATAAAATTCGTGTTGCAATATGTTTTTTTCTA